AAGCCAGTTCGGCCCCAAGCAGCGAGGGCCCAGCGCCATGCACGATACGAGGGGAGCAGGGGCTGGGGTGGGAGGACCCCGGGGATAAGCGGTGTGGAGAGACCTTAGCGAACACCCCAAGGAGTCCAGTGTGCCCGGGCCTGTGCAGGAGAGGGTGGACACTGAGCTGAAGCAGACGTGGGCCAGGGAGAGCCCAAGGCCCCCTGCCCCTGCAGCCTGTCCCCCAGCCGCCCTCTTTCCCGTCTCTCCCGGCTCCAGCCCCTTCTCACCACCCTAGTTTTGGCCCCACTGTCAGCTTCCTCCTCCTCCAGGAGTCCCTCCCAGCCTCCCTGCCTCCAGTCTTTCCCTCTTGCCCTTCCCCACGCGGCTCTGGAGGGGTCTTTGTACACAGAGCTGAGCTCCCTCCTAGGCTCCCCAGTGCCCCGGCCCGTGTCCTCCCCCTCCCTTCACGCCACACTCCAGCCCCGCCAGGCTGCTGGCAGTTTCTCCTGTTGCTGGGGCTTCGCACGCGCCAGTCCCTCTGCCTGGAGCATCTCGCTGCCTCCACCTCGGGGTCCAGCCCAGTGACACCCACCAGTGCAGGCTGGGCCCCTCAGAGCGGGCCGGCCCTCACCTGGACTTCCAGGCCCCACTTGACGGGGCCTGACGCAGCCCAGCAGACATGCTGCAGACCCTGACCTGGGGCTCCAAGGGGATGCTTCACACCTGAGTGTGGGCGTTTCAGATCGGGGCTCTTCCGGGCCAGCCCGATTTCTAACATTCTACCGTCCCCTTTACCAGCCGCTCAGGAATACCCCGACTCAGCCTCCACTGCAGCCAGTAGCTGCTCAGAATCCCCAGCTGGGGTTCAGACTGGCGGCAGGCACGGCCACCGGCCACCGCAGTGCTGCCTCGTGGCGCCTTGCGTCCTGATGATCGATGATCGTTGATGCAGCAGGCAGAGGGCCTGGTGGTGGCTCAGTGGCACTGCAGTTGGACCCGGGTGGGAAGGTCCCGGGGTCGCACCCTGGGCCCCCTTGCACACACCAGGGCCTGCATGCCCACGACCCAGGCTGAGACGCGGTAGACTGCTGGGGGTGCTGTCTCTGTCTGTTAGGAAGGGCCTCGGCAGGCACGGGGATCTAGGGAGCAGCATGCCTGCAGCCCACCTCACCTGCCCTCTCCTCACCCCACAGTGCCGCAGTGACACTGTCCCCACCCGTCAGGACAGCTGGCTGCTGGGTCCTCGCCCCAACCCTGGACCCCCGACGGTGTTCTTTGCAGACCTCCCACTGAGAACAAAGCAGTGTTGTCTCAGACTCCCTGTGTCTGTCGTTCTTGTATCTGCAGCCCCAGCCCCTCTTGTCTGGAGTTGGTCACTCCAGGGGGACAGTAAAGGCAGCCTTGGGATGGCGGCCCCCACGGGCAGCACGTCGGACCACACCACGCCAGGCAGATCCTGGAACAGCTATGTAGTCAGTGACCCCGGATAGGCTGGCTACTGGGAGCCAGGGAGGTCGCAGGCTGTGTGCCGCGGGGGCCACAGCGAGTCAGAGGACGATGGCCAGACTCGGGAGGCCGCTCCTAGGCAACGGTCTCGCTGGCCCGTGTGACCGCAGAGCTCAGGGCTGTTGTCGGCTCCTTTGCTTACGTCTCTGCGGTAGGGCACGTCCAGGGCACATGCAGAGACTGAGCGCAAATGTGAGAACCACCCCCCAGGGGACGGCTTCCACCACGTCCAGGACTAGAACCAACCAGTCACGTGGGAGTCCAGCACCTTCACCACCACGCCACCTGCTGGTCCTGTTGGTTCTGAAGTGGCTGATCTTTATTTACTTTGATAATTGATCCGTCCACCCTGGGTGAGGTCTGTGACCTCTCATCCTCCGGCGACCTCAGGGGGACGTCAGAGCCCCCAGAGCTCCGAGGCCTGTGGGTCAAGTCTGGCCTCCACGGCAGGAAGCTGGAGACAAGACGGTCTGTGTCAGGGACCTTGGCCTGCAGTGGGGGCCGCAGTGGGGGTGGGGCTATACTGGAAAGGCAGGGGACCAGGTGTCTTAAGAGGAAGAGACCCCTTGGGACCAGCAAATGGCATAATGGCTACGTTGCTGGACTCCCACATGGCCAACTGCGGTTCAGTTGAAACTCACTCCCAGTGCATGTGTGTGCATGCCCAAAGTCCCAAGAGAAGGGACTGTAGTGAGGCCATGTCCCCTGGGCGGTGATTTCTCACTTTCTTTCCCTCTGTCTCTGGCTCTCTGGCAAGCACAGGCACCCTATATAGCAAAAACCTCTCTAAAAACAAAAAGATATCCCAAAGGCTCCAGCACCCGCACATCCTAGGGCGGTCTTCTTGGCCCCAGGCCTCGTGGCACTGGATTCCGGGCCTGCTGACCACAGCCTTTCCAGGTGCAGGCACTGCCTCCCGAGACCCCCCTGGGGTGGTCACGGAGAGAGGCTGGGGGTGTGGAGCCTGCATTCCCAGCTAGGAGACCAGACCCCATGGCCCTCGAGGACTCAGAGTCCCCCAGGGGTCACCTCCCCTCTGCCACAGCAATCTGTGGTAGAACCAGGCCCTGGGGGTCCCAGCCCCCTCCTGGCCCAAACCCAGGCCGGCCCCTTTTTCAGCCACTCTTCCGTCCTCACCTCCTTCTGCTGGAGCCAGTCCTCCTCGCTCCCGTCCTCGCTCCCGTCCTCCCGTGTGAAGGGCACGGCGCCCTGGGCGGAGTGGAAGCGCAGGCGGTAGAGCAGGCGCACCCCACG